CCGTCATCCCCCCCGAGGCCCTCCGGTCGGTCGGTCGGTCGGCAGCGGAGGCCGGACGGATGGCCGTGCCGGAAACGCCGCCCCTTTGGAGGCCTCGCTGGCCGGCCGGCCGGCCGAGGTCGGAGCCTTCAGCCGTGGCCCGGCCTCGCCCTGCGAAGCCCTTCGGGCTGGAGGGAGCTGATGGAGGCCAACGGGTTTTTCTGTTCCTTTTACCAGTCCCGAACATAAGAAAGCCGTCTCTGCCTTCTGGTGGGAGAACAAAGCAGACCCCAAGCTGAAGCCCAAATTCCTGATCTCTTGGGAGGACTATGAGCGGTGAGTCAGTCGGTTCTTTGCCAGGTGCCTGATGGGGCATTTTCTCCAATTCCTCGGAGAGATTGAGAGAGAGAGAGAGAGAGAGCTCAAGGCCCTGCGGGTGCTGCCTGGCGTGGCGCTTAAGGCCGCCAGTCCATCTCTCTTTTTTCTGAGTGGTGATGATGGGCAGCATCTCCCCTGCTGTGGAGTTGGGGTTTCCTCTCCCTACGAAAAAATTCCTGGAGTTGAACTGAGCCGCAAGTCTTCTCTCTGAGAGGCCTCAGCCGTGCTTCTTCTTTTTCATGATGCAAGGGCTTCAGCTGCTGTCATGTGGGTTATTTCCTTGGAGGGCCAGATATGGAAAGAAGACCTGGGAGATGAGCACCACTGCTGATCCTCTCACTAGGGTTTTGAGCCTCTTAGGCTGCTGGGAAGGAGAAGCAGGGGATGGAGGAGGCTCCCCCAACTTTGGGTTGGCCTGGGAGAGCTTGATATAGCAAGGTACAGACTTGATGGTGCCGCCGTCAAGCCTGTCCCTTTAAGAGGGAGGAAGCGTCAGCTTATACCTTGGCCACCTCTGCCCTGTGCAGAATCTCGGCTCTTCTTGCTGTGTTAGCAGTTTGGCTTCATAAGCCAAAGACATTTTATCTGATCCCACTTTTGAGTTATTGGCCTTAATGCCACATTTAATGCTATTCTTGTCTGGTTTAGAGGGGTGGGTTTTTGTTGTTTTGTTTGTAATATCTGGTCATCCAATAAAGGTATTGCCCAACCTTGCACTTTATAACAAGACTTCAGCTTTTCTCACTCTTTTACCCTTCTGGTCTTCAGAAATTGGACACCTCATGGCCTTGTTCCAGAAATTTAATATACCAACCTTTACTGTCAATTTCAGCTTCAAGGCGTCTTTGTCTGACGCTCTGGACACCTACGAGGCCAAAGAAGATGAAGTTATTCAGGAGGTGAGGTGGAGGAGGTGTGGGCACAAGGGAAACTTTCCGGTTGCCCGTCCTCCTCTTCACATTCTCATTCTGGCCTTCATCTACCCTTGTTGCAGATGGCAGCTCATATCCGAGAGGTAGAACAGAGGCGGCAAGAAATGGTGCAGGCCATCTTAGAGGTTTGTGTGCCTTGGATGCCAGTGGGCAGTATCCATCATCAAGATCATAAGTGTTTCTGTGGAACATGCCTGCAGGTCCCCCTCCCCCTTTCAGCTCAAGTTGGGTGTTGCATCTGAAGTGTTCTTTTGCTAGAAATATACTGGCAACTGCACCTAATGAGGGTTGTGGAAAACATCTCCCTCTGCCCTTTGTGGTAATCCCATCTGCTATTTGGTAACATTTCAGGATTCTAGAGCAAACATTGCCTTATTGAGAGTTACTACAAATGCTAAGCTTTGCACTTAACAGTCTTGCTTGCATTTTACCACTGCAAGCCCTCTAAGGTGAGATTTGCTTTATGAACAATAAAGCATCTAGTTCTGTAAGGTGAGGAGGTATTTTTCCCTTGTTATATAAAGTCCTGTAATGAAGAGGGGGATCCACAAGCTGTTGATGTCCCTTCACAGCAAGAGGCTTTCCTTGCATAATGAAATCAACGGGACCATTTCAACTCTTATCATTAGCACACGGGTCTCCGGGAGAGCATAATGTATTATTGTCTTTTGGAACAAGTGTTTTTTCCTGAATCAAACTCAGCCACAGACAGAGACAGAGCTGTGTGACGGATCTGCTGCCACCAATGCATTTGCAGAGAGCCTAAGGTAAGCTTTACATTGGGCATGGTGACCAATGCCATTTGTGGAGGGCCGTTGGTGGCTCCATGGGCCAGTTGAGCTTCTTTTGACCTCAGTCTTCACACTTTTTGAGGTGCCAAAATGCAACCACGCCTCTTGCGTGGGCTGAGACATTCTCTGTGTTGTAGTGACTCTGCTTTTGCCACGGAAGAAGAAGAGCAGCCTGGCCCAAGTAGCAGCAGCATCATCGGGTTTCTCAGAGAGCCGCTTAGAGGTCCCCATGGAACACTGCCTGGGCCTGACTGGCTGGAATCAGGACAGTCCCTAACTTTTATTGGCCGTCAGGTCGGTATATTTGTGATTTCCTTATGCTTCTAACAGAGTGAATATTGTTCGTCTTGCAAGAATGCAAAGCTATCATCCAAGGGGCACTCTCGCATACCTCTTTTTAATCCTATACACTTATGGCATTCCTTCCCATGAAGGCTCCCCAAGTGATGTGAACGAAAACATTATTTATAAGCTGATAGCAGTGTTGAAAAGCCAGTTAAAAAGTAATATTCTTGAAGAACAAATTACAACAATTATATGCTAATTTTGAAGCCAGTTTCAGAGGCTGAGGGCCATACAGAACAGTACAGTCCCGGCCACCTACTGAACTGTCTGCAGTGTAACTTAGTCTGTTAGATTAACTGTGAAAACAGCATGCCCTCAATTCCAGGCCGATTGGTGAACACGGGGAGTTTTGTCATACTAAGGAACTAGACAGGAGAATCCCTGTTTCTTGGTATCGTCACTGAAGCAAATTCCAGATGACTTCTATGAACCATTTCTGAGATTTTCCTTTTCTGTTTTGAACACAGGCAGGGGAAGGCAACATTCACACAGGTATGTTTGCAAATTTCCTTTTCATGTTTTGAAAGACCTTTGGAGATGGTTTTGGCTTGTGTGTGATACCAAGGTTTGCATGAGAAATGTTGCATGGGAAATGCACTGGGATCCTTGCCAATAAAAGCCTTTTCTTCTTCTTCTTGCATTGCCTAGTAAGAGTGAGTTTCTTTGGCAGTAGGGAGGGTGTCAGCATGCAGATATTAAGTTCCCACAAGAGTGAAGCTTCCATTACATGCCTTTTCGATCTTTAGGGGCCAAACCACCTTGGCTGATGGACGAGGAGGTAAACCAAGGGCAGATTGGACCGTCCTATGAAGAGTTTCTGAAGGAAAGTAAGTAGGTGCGGATTTGCCTGTGCAGGAGATTCCCCTTGCCAAGAGACGCGACCTCACACGCTAGAAACTAAAAAGAACACATTCCTGTGACTTCTGTTTGGGTAATGCTTTGTGCCTACTTTCTTTTGAAAGAAGAGAAAGAAAAATTGAAGAAGCTCCCACCCCAACGTGTTGGGGCCAACTTTGACCATACTTCCCAGACAGGAGATGGGTGGCTTCCCTCCTTTGGGCGGGTCTGGAACCACGGCAGGAGATGGCAGTCCAGGTAAGCTGAAGGGCTTTCACATGGAGGGTGTCTGTTCCTCCTGCAACAGAACAGGTCCTCGTATGTTTGTTGTTTTGTGGGTCTAGGTATAGCCATCGTTGCTTCCTACAATCTGAGATAAGCTGACCGACAGCAAGGGAAGCAGGTGGTTTCTTTGTGCTCTTTGTCCCGGGGCAGCTGGCACCTCCCACTCACTGGGGTTCTTGCAAGGGAAATAAGTTGCAGCAAGTCACTTCAATACACATTTCTTGCAACTTAATGAGTGTGCTGATTTTGACAGCCATTTGTATGGATTTTACCTGGAAACAATCTAAATCGGGCATGTGCCATTGTGCCATTAACAGCTTAAACTTTGCATCTTTCCTGTTGGTAGCAGCTACTGATGGAAAAGGGCTGCACAGTTGATGAATTCAGAGTTAGACAAGTTGCTGGTTTTTTTAACCTGCTGCTCCTAACAATACACTTTCCAGGTTTCAATTCAAAGCTGAAGGAGGAGATAAGCTGTCCAGGACTAAAAAGAAGAGACCAAAAATGAACTGAAAGAAGATGAAGAACAGTTGCCTTTAAGAATTCCTGGTCTGCTTGACTCAGTGGTGGACGTGGCTCCATATGTCTTATGTATGACAGACTATATGTATTTCTACAGACATGCAAATACATCGTTACAAAGTGTTTTTATAGTGGTCCTTTTTCTTGTGAGCAGGTAGCATGTACTTGTTCTGGAAGAAGCTTGTTAGTAATGTGTACCTTTTGTATTAAAATTACACTCAAAGCAGATCAAAGTACACTTTTGTGTTTGCACAAGACTCTCAAAGCTAAAAAGGTGACTCTCCAAGTAGCTGTTTGGGAGTTGCATGCTCATTATCTGCTCTAAAAGCCACTTGTCTCTCCAGCATCAACAGTCTCAACACAGGCCTTCCTAGGTGTTTTGGGGGTGTCCCTGTTGCTTCTGGGGTGGCATGCTTTTTATAGTGTCCTTAAAAAAGTTACGCATAAGTGTGGGGTGAGAAGGAAAACTTGTACACAATGCAGGCTTGTCTATATTGTTATTTTATTTTTTTGAATATACAGAAGAGTCTAAAAGCCAGTGAAAAACCTGTAAAATGAAGAGATTACTAATTAGTCATGTAATTGCGAAGCAGACAGAGTGCAAGAATTCTATCAGGACACACAGCCAGCAGGACCCCTGCCACAACGGAGAAAACTCACCTTTTCATGCATCCTCCCCTGCTGCTGGTGCATCACCCCCCTTGGTATTTCGAGTATAGATGACCTGGGCTCTGTGCTTGGACACTAGCTTGATTAAACCTAAGAGAGACGTAGGACACGTCAGTAAAGAACAGAAACCTTGAACAACTCAAACTATGTAAACTACCAACCTTTTGGAAAATGTATGTAAGTGGCCCCTATTTGTTGCTATATTTATTGGCCACCCTTGAGTAGAGCAAGCCTGCTGCTCTGGCATCAAGCACATCACTCCCAAGAAAATGGTTACGTTCCTGCATGGGACACTCAGGCAGCCCACCTGCTGGTTTCACCCTCCACTGTTTCCATCTTACCATCAAGCAACTGAATTATAAAAAGAAATCTCCTGAGAGAAGAAGAACTGTTATCAAAGAGAAACCCCTTAATGAACACTACAGTAAGCAGCTGCAGCCAACTATGCCTATTCAAAGTGGACCGGCTGCTTTGTAACTTAAGGGATGTCAAACATTTAAAACGGGGTCCTTATCCCAAAGCAACACCCTTACAAGAGATAGTTGCATCCCCTTGATTGCTGCTTTTCAGAGTCCCGGCTGTCCACCTTCAGTTGCAGAAAAGCAGCCTTGATCACACAACCCACAAGCTTCCAAAGCCTGGGAAGCTCCATTTTTACCTTTGCTGAGTAACTCTTGGAGTGCGGCTCTAGCCAGGGAGCCTCGAATCTTGAGCCTTTCAGAGACTACGGCCGGTGTGATGAGCTTGTAGTTTGGCACCTCCTTGCAGAGTTTGTCATACGTAGCTTTGTCAAACAAGACAAGGTTGTTCAACTTGTCTCTCACTTTCCCCTTTGACCACTTCTGCTCAAGAAAAGAACCAAAATGTCAGCTAAGCCAGCATGCTAAACATGATGCAAGCCCTCTAAAGGTGTGAAGCCTCAGGTCATAACTGGAGTGGTACTCTGGGCACAAAGCCCACCCAGCATCCTGTCCACCCCCAACCTAAGGCAAGGCTCGGCTTCCTTCCAGGGCGGGCCAAGGACAGGATCCAGCAGCCCTCCATCCTGTTTGGGGCCTACTGTGGAAGGGCGGGATTAGGGAAGGGAACTGAGGCGATCCATTCCTGGCCGTCACCACCTGGGCAGCTGCGGGAAAGGCATGCTCCGCACCAGTCCCAGAAAAAGGGGATTTTTTCCTTTCCCTTTTCCTCCCCCAAGAGGAAGGACCAGGCCTCTATTGCGCCGGCCCTGCCTCAAAGGCTGGCGCGTTCAGACACCCCCCCGACACGCGAGGGGGCGGCGGCCTCTCGAAGGCGATCCATTCCTGGCCGTCACCACCTGGGCAGCTGCGGGAAAGGCATGCTCCGCACCAGTCCCAGAAAAAGGGGATTTTTTCCTTTCCCTTTTCCTCCCCCAAGAGGAAGGACCAGGCCTCTATTGCGCCGGCCCTGCCTCAAAGGCTGGCGCGTTCAGACACCCCCCCGACACGCGAGGGGGCGGCGGCCTCTCGACACGTGTCCCCCGCCGGCCTGCTCCCTCC